CAATAAAGGCCAAGTTTTCAACAAAAACTACAACTACTTGTATTACCAAATATTCAATAAAGGCCAAGTTTTCAACAAAAACTACAACTACTTGTATTACCAAATATCAATAAATACCAAGTTTTCAACAAAAACTACAACTACTTGTATTACAAATATTCAATGAATACCAAGTTTTCAACAAAAACTACAACTACTTGTATTACCAAATATTCAATAAAGGCCAAGTTTTCAACAAAAACTACAACTACTTGTATTACCAAATATTCAATAAAGGCCAAGTTTTCAACAAAAACTACAACTACTTGTATTACCAAATATTCAATAAATACAAGTTTACAACAAAAAACTACAACTACTTGTATTACCAAATATTCAATGAATACCAAGTTTTCAACAAAAACTACAACTACTTGTATTACCAAATATTCAATGAATACCAAGTTTTCAACAAAAACTACAACTACTTGTATTACCAAATATTCAATAAATACCAAGTTTTCAACAAAAACTACAACCACTTGTATTACCAAATATTCAATAAAGGACAAGTTTTCAACAAAAACTACAACTACTTGAATTACCAAATATTCAATAAAGGACAGGTTTCTGGCCCTCAAATCTGTGCTTGAGAGTTTTATAATTGTATATACTTTAAACTTATAGGAAAAGCTATATGAAATTTAATATTATTTTGTTTATTTATGTGTGACTAATATTGTTGCTAAATACCGACCTTTGAACTTTATTAAAACAACCAATTAAAGTATATTATAAAACTATATTTAATAAATTTTCAACATATGTTTTCCTTTATTTAAAATAGGACATTATACTGTTCAAGGAATGGTTCTAGACCGTGTCAGCCATTCTTACAGTGTACTATATTATTTAAGAGTTAAATGCCCTAATAAATGTCTCAAATAATTGCATTGTCACCGGGAGTAAGCATGTAAGAAATATAAAATGTAGATAGAAATGTTTATTGAAATGGTTTTAAGGCAAAAACACGCTTTTATATATAAATAAAAATAAGGGTATAAATTGTGGTTCTCTTTTTATATATATATATATATATATATATATATATATATGTCATAATTTGTATATAATTAAATGCAACCCCGACCCACTATGTATGTACCATGTATGATTTTCAAAGACTTAATAAAGAACAAGGTAACTGGAGGGAAGCAAGTAGCATTAAGATATAGGAAGTAGACCTAAGGCTGGCACGACTATTCTGGGCACCCCTGTGTCAATATTGCAGGGGCAGAGACCGGACGTCTCTAGTGACCAGAAGTTATAAATGTTGAAGCTAACACCCAATATTTCCGGCAAAGACAGGACGTATCTAATATCCGTCGAAGCTATAAGCGTCAAGCCACCCAACACTTCCTGACGAAATCGGATATACCAGGCAGGGCACATCTTTCATCAAGGAGAGCCGCGGGCCAATCAGAAGATAGCTCCTTAAGTAGGTCAACCAATAGGAAAAGATCATGTGACATCTCTCGACCAATCATAGAGAAACGGAGTCTTGGTGTTAAATCGAAAGGCAAGGATGGTCAGTTAGGTTTTCGCTCTCATAGGAACAACACCTGCAGTAGCGACTTGGCTCCCACCGAGTTCGGATCAGCCTTCGACTTGCTCCCACCAAGGTAACATCTGTTCTAGAGATCTCTCTCTCAGCTCAGCTCATAGCTATGTCAATCACCGCCATGTGATCAGATAAGGAACAATCAAACCCGCTCCTTCTCAAACCTTCTTCCCTCCAATCCAGTTGCCTTTTATTTTCAAAACAATCACGTGTCCTGATTATTCCTAACTGTATGCTGCAACTTCCACTCAAACGGCTGCGCTTCAATCAAATATCACCATTCGCATCCAACAACAAGAAATTCCGCAACGATATTGCCACATATATATATATATATATATATATATATATATATATTTGATAATACAGTAGAGTCTCTCAAAAGCGACTCATCCCATTAGCGACCACCTCTCATGAGCGACCACCCTTGTAAGACACGAATGAATTCCCCTTATAAGCCTATTATAGCGAGCTCCCGTGAACAACCAGCGACCACTAAAAAATCATTTTTTTAGTCTCTCATGAGAGACCATTAATAGAATCTCAGTTATATACTCAAATAAAACGAACAAAAACTTAAGATATATAAAGGTTGAAAACTTTACAAATTTATTTTGTACAACAATAATTATTCCAGAAATAATATAATTATTTCTAACTTCTATATTCACTTAATTCTCTTTGCAGTGAACATTTGACTTTTATGAAAAAATTTACTCAAAACTCACAAAAACCAGCCTCTAATCATTTGCGGTGATTTCAATTCTCGTAAATTAGTTTGGTTCAATAAACAAGTACCATCTTAGTCTTGAGTTGGGTAATGCGGCCATGGCCTCGACCTGCCCACTCTGTGGGAAAGAACTCTCGCAGTCCATCGGTGGCGGAGTCTTTCCCGCGGTGGGCTTTTCTTTGAATGCACACATTTGGTCAAATTGACCCTGCTTTCCACCGCGGCGCTGCCGAAGCTTCTTTTATGCATCGTCATAACAGATCGAATTTCAACAACAGAAATCCTTTTATTGGGGTTCCTATGTCTTACACAGGATTCGTTTCAGGTGCATAATTGCTTAGAAAGGTGAGGTTAGTTATTTATAGGTGATCGTTCATTTAGATATTCATTTACATAACAGATAGAAATTCATTAAGAATGCACCCGTTGATTTAAAAAAAATCTTTATTCATATAATATATCTTTTTACTAGTTGTAGTTTAAAGCGGTAGTATCTCTATTTAGTGTCATTTAAAATAAAAGCGTCACTTTTTGAAAACGTTATATTTAATTCAATTTCTTACTAATTTGAGTTTTCTCTATATATTTTCATTTCTACTCAAATCTTATTGTAAAATGAGATATGTTAACCGTTGGGCCATATAAACTACTTTTTCCTACGTGCTCTTTTACGATGACAATGCTATTATTTTACACTATTCTTGAAAAAAAAATGTATATGTACTTTTTGATATATATTTGTTTAATCACGATGGCAATAACTTATTTCGAATATTTAAATTCGATTATTGGAATTTATTTATATTTTTCTATATAAATATATATATATATTGATTTCTTGCCGGCGATACCTTTCCGGGATCCAAGGCACCAGTTGGAGCACCACAAAAGTTGAGACGAATCAGATAATTTTAAGTAACTGACTCCTGTATTTTCTTCCTCGTCACCGCCAAACTTCAAATTTACCTTTTACAGGATTTGGAAAGATATCTACAATAGATGGAGAGAGGGTTATTGAATTATGACACACTCCAAAATAATGGCTAACACCGCGTGAATGCCAAGTTATAAAGAAGGGACTCGGTGATCTAAGGAAGGAGCTTAAAGAAAGACATTTGCCTAAATGTTAACTAGACAGGGTGAGGGCTCCACATGATATCTAGATACATAACACAGAGAGGTTTAGAGATAGACTATACTATCTCACTCCGTCATGTATTGCTACACCCCTGACCCCAACTTCCCAATTCCGACAGCTCGCTGTAGAGTTTCCTATTGACAACAAAATGGAATGGAGTGGACTAGAGACTGAAGACAGCACTGCTGGACACCGACAACGCTGAAAGCCGGACTTACGTCTACACGCGAGGCCTCCCATCGGAGTTTTGCGCCATAGCCAACAGTCTAGTAATCAGTGCCTAGTCCCAGGTCTGTGGAGCGAGCAAGCTATCGGAGGGGAAGTTGAGTGCCAGTCCACGCTATGTGAATACACATGGTTAAAATATCAGGGTCCCTCCCCCCTCCCAGCGTGGAATGACCAATGACTAAAGCGGGATAGTCTAGGGCGGCTAATCGTCGCAGTGGCCACCACAGGGGTGTAAGCACTAAAACCCGCTGTCCCAGTACTGTCTAACACTAGCTAGATCCTGCAACACCGCCGTTAGTAGAACTGGAACGCAGGGAAGTCACGGCTCCACATCTGGAACATCTGTTACACACAGCAGCCAAGAATTCAGACTTTATGGTCAACAAATTGCTATTGTCACCGAGTCCCTTTTTTATTCTTGACATTCACGAGGTTTGAAATATTTTTATCCTATTAGAATATTGTTTATTTTGATTTTGAAAGAGTTCCCAAGAAGAGCTTCCAACTATGAACTCATTCCAATTCTGTTACAACCAACCAATCGATGGAACAGCTCTAGTCAGAAACTATATCCAATCATCAATAGGACACATCTCTCTTAAATAGGGAGACATTTTTTTATAGAAACAACATTTGTTTAGCTTTCTTATATAGCTGGATCTACATTTATCTAGGGAAGTATAGTCTTTGCCCTCGTTATATTTGGAGCTATATATATATTACATATAGGAACTTCTTATTCCGAATAATATAGTAGACTGGAAATCATATTATAATGAATATAAGATTTATGATTCAATGTTTATGTATGGTTTCCATGTTATTTGCCCACTGATTGGTTGTCAGATGAGCGAGCGTTGATGCTTTCCAGCCACCGCCGTCTGAAGGGAAGGTACACATGTTGCTGCTGATTGGACAGTGGTGCGCAAGCGCATTAGCTTAGTGTTTTTAAGTAGAAGGGATATCAATTTTTTAAAGTTAGAAATCAACAAATATTTTAATGCTATTTAAGACCAAAAATGCAGTTTTTCTCAAAGTTCAATATTCCCTTACACGCTTTTAATTTAGAGATACAAAAAGATTTAGTATTTTGTTCATATTAAATTATTACATTGTATTTGCGACTGTGGACTAAGGATTCAATATGTGTGACACACATGTTTATCAAATTTGTCTGGATATCGCTAGAAGACTTACAAATGACGTCATTCTGATTTTAATCAAAGCAACCAATTAGGTGAATTTGTCCACATCACGTGACTTGCTGCAGTATAAGACCTTTGTGATCTAGAAAAAGAATCAAGTGCCGAAATAGCTCAGTTGGGAGAGCGTTAGACTGATGATTTAAAGGTCCCTTTTATAAGGGCATGTAGCTCAGGTGGTAGATTAGCATAAAAGAGGTACTGGAATCGATACCCAGCATCTCCATTTACAGCTGCCCTCCTACAAGGTCTGTCACTTCTACTCCACCAACTGTGTAAACAGCCAGGACAAGGTGACTCGATGTAACACCTGTAAACTGAGACGATATAAATAAAGAGAATTAGTTACGTAAGTCCAGCTGACAAGTAGATTGTGGCCGTCGTCAGTAGAGAAGGCGATACCATATGAAACTGATACAAGAGCTGAACTTATCTGGTTTAGTTGAAATGTCTCTTGCTTGAATAGGTCTAGTGATTATAGAAATTCTTACCTGAGAATTCTTCAACATATTTCATATCAAATTTTATTAAAATTAACCGTTTGTGTGCCTTAAATTTATCATTATTCTTTTTAATTTTAAAATTTTACACAAATAAATTTACTGGCAATGAGTTTCTTTTAAATATCATCAAATATTATCTCTACAGACCTTACTGCAATGATATGAGTTATTGAATGAGAGGGCTTGGCCCATCAGTAGTGAACCCTCTCAGCGGTTTCGCCAAATTAATCTCTAGACCGCTCTGCTATTGTATTGGACTGGTTTTGTTATATACCCTGCATTTTCTATAGAAGGCAGCTTAGGGGTGTTTAGTGAACTATGGACATAAGCTTATAGGTCTGGAGAGGAACATACATATAATTTCAAGGTATTGCATCGAGCAAAGCTCTTCCGCAAAATATGTTTTCATAACCAATATATATTATTAAATTAAATTTTATTGCCATCTATCGTTAAAATTTTACACAAATAAATTTGCTGGCAATGAGTTTCTTTTAAATATCATCAAATTATATGTATGTTCCTCTCCAGACCTATAAGCTTATGTCCATAGTTCACTAAACACCCCTAAGCTGCCTTCCATAGAAAATGCAGGGTATATAACAAAACCAGTCCAATACAATAGTAGAGCGGTCTAGAGATTAATTTGGCGAAACCGCTGAGAGGGTTCACTACTGATGAGCCAAGCTCTCTCATTCAATAACTCATATCATTGCAGTAAGGTCTGTAGAGATAATATTTGATGATATTTAAAAGAAACTCATTGCCAGTAAATTTATTTGTGTAAAATATTAACGATAGATGGCAATAAAATTTAATTTAATAATATATATTGGTTATGAAAACATATTTTGCGAAAGAGCTTTGCTCGATGCAATACCTTGAAATTATATGTATGTTCCTCTCCAGACCTATAAGCTTATGTCCATAGTTCACTAAACACCCCTAAGCTGCCTTCCATAGAAAATGCAGGGTATATAACAAAACCAGTCCAATACAATAGTAGAGCAGTCTAGAGATTAATTTGGCGAAACCGCTGAGAGGGTTCACTACTGATGAGCCAAGCCCTCACATTCAATAACTCATATCATTGCAGTAAGGTCTGTAGAGATAATATTTGATGATATTTAAAAGAAACTCATTGCCAGTAAATTTATTTGTGTAAAATTTTAACGATAGATGGCAATAAAATTTAATCTTTTTATTTTATCAATTTCCGAGCCAGCTTCTTTTTGATCTAAAATAGGATATAATTCCAAATTAATTCATCATACAAATTTTAAATTTTCACATCAGAGTTATATTCTTATTACTATTTGTCATCAAAATTATTTGGTCATATGTAAGGAACTATTATTTTATTTCTTCACTTTAACAATTCATTCATTCTGTTTGAGATTTATTGCCATGATTAGGATCTACACGGAGTCAAATTTCAACAAAACAACATCATTGATAATTTCAAAATATTTATCCATGATTTTCTTCAATATTTCGTTGATATGAATAATGGGATTTCTTCCCCGCTATTTTTAAAACTTCTAAATTATTTTTATGAAGAATCAAGCTATTGAATTGAGGATAGATTATATGATTTAAAATAGTTTTAGAGAAAAAATAATTGGGTTTGTCCAAATCTTGGAAAAAAAAATTCTAGCTAAAATAATTTACTTCATTGTTGCTCAAGACTTATTTTATTTTCAAAATACAAAAATAAGTCCTGGATAAACATGAATAAAGACTAAAATTTGTTCGATATTATCGTTTCCACATTGACACAGAAGAAATAAATTATTGGAGGAATAATGCGCGCCCTATATCTATATATATATATATATATTGTTACGTAGATTAAAAACAAAGTACATTCCAGAATAGAATGTTTTAAAACGTTCGAGAATAATGTAGAAAAATCAGAGAACAACTTCGCCTAGACTTCAACTCCCTGATTAACGCTTCAGAGTCCCGAAATGGAGAAGAACTGTAAGAAAATCGGAGGCTGGATCTCTGAGATTATTGTTTTATTAAACAAAACATTAAATTAAGATGACAGAAAACAAAAGAGGCAAAACAAAAGCGAGTGTAGTGACAGACAACCAAAGTTAAACTAAAACTACAGGTACAGCCGGTAGGGTTGGCGCCAGGTCACGTGAGGTCTGTCAGGTGATGTCTGGTAGGAAGGTGGCGTTGCTAGGCAACGGCTGATGTGCGAAGGTACTCTCCAACACTCCAACCTACCGAGCACTTAGTTGTCTCAAACAGTCCAAGTTGGCTTCTTAGTCTTCTAAACTTTTCTGGAGGTAGAGCTTTCGTAAATATGTCTGCAGCTTGAGCATTGGTGCAGACATAAAGAAGGCCAATTCCATGGTTTTGAAATTGATCTCTGATAAAGTGATACGAAATATCAATATGTTTAGCTCTTTTGTGGTATTCTGGGTCGTGAACAAGTCTCATGCAGCTTTGATTGTCGCAATAAATTGTTGTAGGCTTTACTTGTTCTTGATGTAGCTCTCGTAGAAGTTGTCTAAGCCAAATTGCTTCTTTCGTTGCTTTGGAAGCCGCAATTTATTCAGATTCTGTTGTTAACAGAGACACACAATTCTGTTTTTGACTGCACCAAGAAATAGGTCCATTATTCAACATGAACACATATCCGGTGGTTGATTTTCTTGTGTCTAGGTCTCCAGCAAAATCAGCATCGGAAAAACCTATCAGAGATGTTGTGCAGGAACTCCCACCAAACCAAATACCGATGTTTTTCGTAGCTTTTAAGTATCCAAATATTTCTTTACTGAGGTCCAATATGAAAGTCCTGGGTTGTTCATAAATTGACCATCCCTGCTGACTGCGTAGGCAATATCAGGTCTAGTTCCAGTCATAAGGTACATTAAACTGCCAATTGTCTGTCTGTATGGAATCTTGTTCATTTCTTCAATTTCCTGATCATCCTTTGGACACATCTCTTTTGTTAGTTTTGAGTAAGGATCAGAAGGTACGGGTTGTAACTTAATTTCAAGGAGGTTGTAATGTTCAAGTGTTCTTTCAATGTATGAGGCTTGATGTAGAAATAATGTTTTACTTGTTCTATCTCGATTTATTTGTAAGCCAAGGAAATAATCGGCAGTAAAAGTTTTTATTTCAAAATGGGAATTTAAGTACTGTACTATATCATGATGAAAAAATATCAGGCTTAAACTGGGGTGCAAATGCCAATATCTTACGCACAACGTACCTTGCACTCGTAAGACCTATTTTGGAATATGCTACACCAGCCTGGATCAATGCAAGTAAAACTAACCTATCCAAAATAGACAGAATCCAAGCAAGCGCAGCTAAAATCATCAGCGGACTTCGAGGATCCTGCCCAAATCGCATTGCTGAACTCGAATCCAAC